TACACGATTGAACTGTATATTTAACACCAACAACAACCGTGTTAAGTCCGGTTAGATGTACATAGCACCGCTACCAATGGTCGTTGTCTAATTCATACTGACGCCAATTCAGTCAGTTTCGATTCTAGCTAGAGAGACAACCGGACGTCTAGCCACACTGAAGAGCTGTGATACAGATGTAGATGACATTATATATATATATATATATATATATATATATATATATATATATATATATATATATATATATACACACACACATATATATATATATATATATATATATATATATATATATATATATATAGACAATGAATTTCTATTATGTTTGATCATGAGCCGTTCTAAACTTCGTATGGTTGCTTTAATGATTGTCATCATATATTAATAGTTGACAGATTGAAGAAGCGCGGGGGATTGAATCAAATGATTTTTTATTCTATTTCTACACCTAAATTCCACTTTAGGTGTTTCGGTAATACCTATGGGATTTAAGATAAGCTATTTTTGAAACCATTTCTTTGGAGAGCTATTCCATACGGTGCTTTTTTTTAAATTATTTATACGGTCCGCTAACATCGAAGTTAAAAAAGATTATCAGTAGAGACTTTAAATTACTAGAAGTTAAGATTGAAATTTCATCTAACCTTAAGATAGTTGACTACCTAGACATGAAGCCCAACCTTAATGATAAAACCTTTAAACCCTACTATAAAGAGAATGAAACACCCAATAACATTAATGTTAGTTCTAAGCACCCCAATGCCATCCTGAAACAAATACCCACTACCGTTTGTACTAGAAATAGGACATTTTTGTCCAACGAAAAAATCTTTAATAAAAATAAATAACCGTATGCAAACAAAAACTCTCCTATTAAGATAACTTATTTTGAAACCACTTATTTAAATGGTTTCAAAATAGTTTATCTTACTTACAATGCATAGGTAATATCGAGACACCTAAAGTGGGATGTTGGTGTAGAAATAGATGAAGAAAATCATTTGGTTCAACGTCTTCGCTTCTGCAAACAATCAAGTATTATTATAGGACAACACTTCCTAAAATTAATAAATAAATTCTTAAACAAAAACAACGCTCTAAGTAAGATGTTCGATAGGAAGTCGGTCAAAATTAGTTATTCTTACACTAACAACAGGTACCAAATTATCAACTCCCATAACAATTACGTCTTAAGTAAATTCTAAGGAATAAAATAAAACTAAATCTAATACGGAAGCCCCTGTAACCGAAGAGATAGGAAAAACTGCCCAGTCGAGGGCAAATGCAAATCCACTAGGGTAATATACCAGGCAAAGATTGACCCCCAAAGAAAACATGACAAATTATAATGTTTATATTGGGATTTCTGCGGGAGAATTAAAACAGAGAATTTATACCCATAGGCACTCGTTTAACAAACTGAATTAAAATTTCAAACAGCCCTTTCAAAGAAATTTGGTAATTGAAGGAAAAAAGTTTAAATCCACTGATTGATTAGAAAAGTATTGGTTTCGTACATAACTCTGGTAGAGATTGATGCAGGCTTTGTTTAGAGGGAAAAATTAGAATAATTAAATACAATGATGAATGCAAACTATTAAACCAAAGGAGAGAACTAGCATTAAAATGTAGACACAGATGCAGGTCCAAGCTTATATAAGAATATAGATTTTACAATCCTTGACTAAATATAAAAAAATAACAGCCCCTCAATTGCTATAGTCGCCACTGATTAAATGTTTACTTTATATCATGCCCTTAAAGAATTTCGGGTACAGTTCAGCATTCCTAATATTATAACTGAATGGTGGAAAGGGATGGTGTGTATATGTATGTATGCGTCTGTATGTATATTAAGCGACCCCATACGTTTTCACCAACGCTATCTAAACCAAACTAAGAAAAAAAAAAAGAAGAAAAAAACACAGACAGTTTTGGGCTGAAGATAGCTGGCACGTAGCAATGCTAGTTTGAAATAGACTATACCCACATGAGGTAATTTTGGACTTTTACTGAATAAAATATATGCTCTGTTACAATAAATACATTGAGCTCTCTATGGATCAGTTTTAATTACGGATTTATTGCCTATATATATATATATATATATATGTATATATAGATAGATAGATAGATAGATATGCATAGATTTTATTACTTAAACGTTATTAACCCATATTTGAGTAGATGTCCCCTATATTTATTAAACAGTATATGTCTTTATTTTCCTCTACTGAATATTCGATAAATCTTATTACAGGAAAATATACGCTCTATGGCGGGATTCCTTTACGTTAGTATACGAAACTGAGAAGATATGTATATTTAGATTGTTTTGGAACATATTTGTGTTTATAAGGAACTATTTATTTATATATATATATATATATATATATATATATATATATATATATATATATATATTAAAAAGAAGAGAGATACGGCAAACGTTTTAGGTTGTAATGTGAATTTTTTTTTAAATATATATGCTTTATTTTCCCTAATTTTATTACTACACGTGTTTCTGGAAGAATTTCTGCACGTTCCATCAATCCCCACGTCGCATGTTCTTTGAAAAGCACGATAGCTTGGCGCTCAAAATCAATGAGTTGTTTAGCCATACGAACGAAAGACAAAAGTTGTATTCAAGTAATCTTTAAATGGCATGTCACATGATCGAGCAGTAATTAATCGATTATAAAATAACCAACCAGTCTTAAGTAGTTACGTGAGAGTCGAATGATAAATCCAAGGTCATCAATATTCAAGCTTACTCAAGGTTAATTATTCCTGAAAGATAAAACAGTGATAATCAATTTGCCGCTTTTTTACTGGGCACCCTGTAGTTTCTTTTCTCGCACATCTCCCCTGTGGAATTCTTTCCAATTTCTTACTTCAATCTTGCTTCATCGCCATTTTATATCTTCCTGAAACCTGTTATTTAATTGTTCTTTTTTCATAATAAAGTATTCTCATTCTCTTCCAGTCACAGTAAACAACTTGTGTCTTAGTAGCATTAGCGTCTTGCTTGGGGCGAAATAATAAAAAAAAAATAGAATAGATGACATAATCTTTTTGTGATCAATAGAATTTTTCTTGTCGAGTGTGTTTGAAAATTATATTTACGTGTATGTATGCTAAGGATGTCTGGAACTGAACGTGTGAGCAACGATGAGGTTTTGGGGAGGATGCAAACAAGAAGGAAGCTTGTACTTAACATCAGGAAGAGGCAGCTGAAATTTATAGGACACTTAGAGAGAAAGGAGGGCTTGGAGAATCTGATACTCACATGTCGAACAGAGGGAAAGAGAGACAAGGGAAAGAAATGCATGACATACCTACCGGACTTAAGCAAATGGATAACAGAACATGGCCTGGGGAAATGTATCAAACGGACAAAACTTATTGAGAGTTACAAGGGACAGAAGGAAGTGGAGAGCCATGATCGCCTACGTCATGAAGGGACAGGGTACATAAAAAGAAAGAATATGTCTATTGATATGTCGCACTTAACGGATTATGGGAGAATATATTGAATATTAGGATTACTAACAATATCGTTGTTATTGTGTCGTTACCCACTCCCTGGTCTCTCCATTCACCTGCATAGCACAACTGTTCAGTAATCGTACAACATCCTACTGGTCGTCTAAGACTTCTAACTCTGCAGCTGATCGATCACTTCGATCTCAGACGTGTCCTATCCCAAATTGTAATTTAACTTTGATCATAAGGCAGCCAAGATCGAATCGTCGCAGTTATCTTCGAGTTGGGCTGGTCCAAGCAGGGCGATGATGTACAGGGAAAAAAAGTAACACTCGAAAAAACTTAACAAAAAGTAAATACTGTTTATATATTAGTCCTTCGTACAATAATTGGTTATATCAGAGTCCGTATGCAATTAATTATCAGCCCAACCCGCGTCTAATTCGGAAGTGATATTATTGATGACCTGGTAAAATCTGGTTTGCTACTTTGGTAAAGTTTGGCACGAAGATGAAGTGCGAGGCTTTCGTCGGCAGACAATCACGTGCGCCTGTCCCCATTACTTCTGCCTCTCTCCTCTCGTCTGCCTAATTCGCTTCGCGCATTCATATTTATGGACATTCGCCCAAACTGGCGAAGTAAGAGAATTCGATAATTCTGTGGGATTCCCTTCTTCCACTCTCATATTATTACCTCTCACTAAATCTCCTCAGTGAGCGTGGGTAGCTTATTCACCGCCTCCTGGTATTTCAGCTCATCTTTCGACCAGGAGAATCAACTTCAAATTCGTTGTTTACGAAAAATGGAGTTTTCGCATTACAGCTTGCATTTGCAGCTGTGTGGCAATCAACAATGCTCCTAAGTCTGGAGACTCTTCCATGGTTCAAACTGCTCGATGTACAATTCAGTTGGTTTATGTGTTAATTAAATCCTCAATTCTTCCCATAGGATTTTGGTATTAACCCTTCTCGTTTGCATGTCTCTCAGTAGATGACACTTTTTTAATGTTTTAACAAAACTTTGTTCCGTTTCACCGCGGCACGAAAATAGTATCACAGTTCAACCACATTATAAAATCTCTGCGGTAACATCGTCCTCTTAGTTACACACTTCACTGACACAACACATCGACGATCGTCCCCGTTTTCCCCTAAGATAGCTACCCCAGTGGATATGTCTAATTTCGAAGTTGAAACGTTACACTAAAGCTACTGCATCTTAATGTAAAATTTTTCAGGGTCAATCATTAATATCTCAAGCCTTACATAGTAAGTATTATCTTAATTAACTTTTATTTTTTTTTAATATGAAAAGTTCTGGTAGCTTTTTGTATTTACTTGAACATTATTTTTACCTTTTTTTTTTTTTCATTTGCCTTCTCCCTTCAGATAAATTATGGTTCTTCATTACTTTCTATTCTTTATAGCCTTAATCATCCCTTCTTCCGTTACTATAAACCTTTTTTGTTAAGTTCTCCATTACTCATGAATCCTGATGTATCACAGAAATTACAATGGTTTTCGTATGATCACCAAAGTTAAGCAAAGTCGAGCCTGGTTAGTACGTAGATGCGGGAGCACTTGGGAATACCATGTGCTGTAAGCTTGGACTGCTCAAGTGTGGAAATTGGAGAGTCGTGTTCCAATTCCAGCCCGGTTCATTATATTCACTTACACACAAATCTCCTTGGAAAATGTAGGAATCCGCTTCTTCATGTGTTAATTGGTAGGAGTTATTTCGGTAAAAAAATTATTATCTACAAAAAATGCTTACAATCTAAAAAAATATTTCCTGGCTTTAAATAACATGTAAATGTTGATAATCCTTAAAAAACAAATCAATCCATAAAAACCCAGATATTCTAACTTTTTGATGCTATTCACAAGTGTCCGTTTCGTTTCCATTTTCTTTAAACTGCCTCGTTTCCCGATCTTACAAAAATATGGCCGTAATATTTTGATGTTTAGCTAAACTAGTGAATATATAACGTAAGGTGATAGGTAAAAAGTTCCTGTTAAATGTCTTTAAATATTTCTTATTTTAAATAATTTAAAATCAGAATGTTTTATGTCTCAGTTTTAATTGTGATGAAAAATATATATAATCCTGCCTGGAGGGCACCTCTAGGCGATGTAATGGTTAGAAAGATTATCTCGCTAGAAAAGTTACGACTGATTAGTGAGTTCGATCCTCCCTGGGTGCCCATACTTTCGGCCTTGTGCCAGTTTTAAGCTATGCTTGGAAATTTACTATATTATTCTGGCGGGAAGTATGACCAAAACAAATGTACAGTCGCTAAATCTCCCGCCATTTTTTAAGAGCAGGGGTAGAAAATTTTTAAAAGCATGCTTTAATTTATCTAATAACCAAAATAAGAACTTATTTTGTTTGTTTAATGATTAGTGGACTTCAACGTACTTCAGGTAAGAATTAATATTTATAAAATTTAGTATATAAAAAGATTTATTTTTAATCTTAGAGTTAAGTGGCTCTTGGTCCGAGAAATGACCATCTTCCATGATTGAAACGAGTATAAGTAGATCCCACGGGCTAATGCCCGTGGGATCTACTTATACTCCGTTGATTGGCCGTGTTTCTAGGCCACGTGACATTGATTATCTACATTTTTAGTTTAGTTAAAATGTCCTTAGTTTCTTTACCTTTAAAATTCCTTCAGAACTGGAATGTCTCCCAGCTGGTTTGATCTCATGAGTAAGCAGAGTCATAGAATCGTATGTCACCAACGCTTGTTTTAATATAGATCAAATGTAATTCATAGCCTGTAGTTGGGGCTTACTGCTGCTCAGTTTCATTAATCTTAATTCGTTGACAGATAAAGGGCATAGGGTGAATGTCTACCTCATTTTCACGATATTTGAGCTTTAACACGTGTCGTTGAACTGCATGCAACTGGTATTGATTGATCGGGTATAAGCTTTCAATGCTTTGGAAAACGACAGGCGAATCAAATCTGGACTTTACCATAGACTATTTTCTCATCATGTATTAAAATTTGAAATATTCGGCAGTTGGTAAAGTAATTACGGTTTAAGTGAAAATATTAAGACATTAGTTAAATATTTCCTTTCAAAAATTTTCGACTGCAGCCCATTTTCAGATTTCTCTTTTAAAGAAATCAAGATATTTCCATATTTTCAACATTTTTGTATCTGTTAGTGGTAAGTCTGCTGAGTCTGAGGAATGTCGAAGAAACTTACAGGGGTTGGACAAAATAATTGGAACAGTTGAAAAAGCCACTCCTATATATCAAAGACCTATTATATTAAGAACTTTAACTAAAACTTTGTAATTGCAGGTTATATCTATTGTAAATACGTTTCTTTATCTAATTTACTGTCTTTGTCTTATTTATTTTTAGAATTTAGTAAAATTTAAGCTAAATGTGTGACCTCTCTAAGTTCGAAAAAGAGCAAATTGTTGGAGCTCGCATGGCAGGAGCCTCGATCACTATGGTTGCTTAACTGTTTGGTTTTTCAAGAGCTACGATATCAAGAACACTGATGCTATTCGAGAACCAGGGCAAGACCTTTAGCAACCGTAGAAATTCGGGCCGGACTTGCAAACTTAACTTATTTACAATGACGAGGTGACCCTTTTGGACTCTGTCGACTAAAAAGTGAAGACTGGTCAGCTCTTGCCCATATATAGCATCAGTACTCTAGTTTCGGCTTGATCTGACTCTTGTAATGATAGAAAATGGTAGAAAGTGTCAGGTACTTGCTATGGCGTTATAGGGAACTAATCATTTTTCCGGTGATGGGTCGTATGTACGAGTCCCAACAGACATGGAGCCTCTCTAAGGGAACATCCGTTCATCGCGATTAGTGAAAGTTCTGTGTCCGATCGGCCATGATGGAATGTCACTAGTCACTAGTTCTTCAGCGCACCGGTGAGCTGTTAGAGCGAGTTCAAAGGCGACATCAGGTGCCAAGCTCTGGTCATCAAGTGTTCTGGTATCCGAAGTCACTAATACTTTTTAAAAAATAATATAACTGGTAAAGATATTTGATCAACATGAGACACATAGGCGAAGATAAAAAGATTTCCGTGAAAGCACAAGAATAGGAAGAGGTTCAACACAAGGGTGCGTTTTCTCATCGAATTTCTTTAAACTATGCAGCGAGATGAAGTTGCTACATCTGCTACTAGGAGAGTTGGTTCTTTGTGTCGTACCAAACAATTATGCCATTCATCCCCGCTTAGAACATTGCTGCCATATATGGTCTAGTGATCTTGTTATGCATTTAAAAATTGATAAAATCCAAAGAATAATCTGCAATGTCATTGGTCTTGACCTGGCATCTCAGCTTCGTCCTAACGTAGCTTCCATATACCTTTTCTATACGTATTTACATAGTTAATTTTTCTTATGAACTTTTCTCAATGATACCTAAACTAGATGGATTTTAGCGCAGTACTAGATTAACAAGCACTCCTCACTTTATAGTCAAAGATATAATGGTAAGTTTTATGATAACAATTTCTTTCTCGCACTAGCCGGCTTCTGAAAACTTTCTTTTGGCTTCTGGCTTTCCAGTTAAGTTTGATCTTCAAAAATTTAAATGTAATGTCAATCGTTATCATCTGTCCTCTTAAAATATGTTCTTTTATTATTCTGACTCTAATAGTTTTTTTTTTTCTTTTTCTTATATTTTTCATACTCAGTAACTCTTGCTTCTTAGTGGCTCTATTGCCTTACTTGGTGTGAAGTGATTTAAAAAATAAAGAAAATAAAATTAAAAGAAATATCATGATTTATTAGTGGTTAAATTACTCTTAAAATTATATTATACGCAGAACTCGTATTGATAGCACACTTAGAGAGGAAACTGAAATAAGTCTCAAAATAGATAGTAATGGAAAAAAACACATTAACTATTAACAGTGATAGGATGCATAGTCGTAAGCTAAAGAAAACGAGTAAAGTGTAAGATACATAGCGGGGATGACAAAATCAAACAACAACAGAATTTCAAGTCTCCGCTCAATTTATAATCAGGCGATCCAGAATATGACATAGAAATCCGAAGTTACATAGGAAAAAGTATGATCCCTTCTGAAAGTTAAGCAAACAATTAAGAGAGGACAGTTTCTTTAGAAAAAAAGACAAGAATTTAGAAAAGCTATGTAATATTTAATATCCTATATAGCATAGAATGAAGACTTGCGGTATAATAACGGATAGCAGCTCGGATTGTGGAATAAGAGAGAATCAAGTCGAATCCATTACATTAACGTACTAATATCCTTGGGAAAGTTATGAATCCCTTTCTTGTCTCCACCCCCAACTATGGGTAAATCACAGCCTGGATATAGAAGCCTAGGATGGCAACTGGTCTTGGAGAAGGACACCTCTGAATTCAAAATCAGACACTCGAGGTTGAAGGTTTTGCAGGCTAAAACCTGCTCCCTTAAAAAAATGGTTGTTACAAAAACTTGTAGCCCTAAGTTCCTCAATGAATTTAAACGCATAATATATATATATATATATATATATATATATATATATATATATATATATATATATATATATGTATATATATATATATATATATAGAACAGAATGGTGGTAATGTTGCTTACGGATAAAGAAAATACTTGAAAAGTCAACTGACAAATGCTGAGAATACCATGGCGAATAGATATGAGTAATGGGGAAGGTTTAAAAAAAAATTACATCCAGAAAAAAACTATTTGAAATTTCAGGAAGATATAATAAGGAAAGGATGTCTGGCGAATTTAACACTCAGATATGTTGACAGCAATGGAATGTTTGAGAAAAAGCGAGTAACCTAATTAACCCGTCGGTGTGGAAAGACTGCAGATGAGAGGGGGTCAAAAGAGAATGCCAAAAAATCATAAATTAGTGCAAAAAGAAATCAAGATGTGGAGTGCCATGACCGCTACGGTCCTTAAAGAATTTGGCAAAAATGTAGACACAACCAGCGCGAAGGTTTATAGGGTGAGGAGACGAGTGGAACTATATGTCAGGTTAAGGATTTTTAAAGAGAATCCATGAACTTGGTGGGGGAACAGCACGTAAGCTTTCAAGTATGAAATTGTTACCACCTCTCGACAACAAGGTGTCGAGTATTGTTAAATTTAGCGTTTCAAACAAATTCTGTACCCAGAATGCTGATTAGCTTACGTTAAATATGAATATTAATATTTATGTTATCCAAACTATTTTTTTAATATTTATTTTTCTAGAAAATTCTGTTATTAAAAATATTTTAAAATGCACATAGTGATAGATAGATATGGAGGTACTGAGATAGATAAATAAAGGAAGCGATTTAGAATTCAAATCTTGTAAATTGGTGAAAATGAAAAGATTTGCTCCATTAATAGATTAAAAAATGTCCACAATTGCAAATGGAAGAAGACAAGAAATTATTTCATAATAAAATCAGTCAAAATGGATTTGTTTCCTTCAGTTGAAATCTCTTGCAAATGCACGCACAAACTTACATGCAAAATAAAATAAAGCAGCACACACACACCTGCCTATATATATATATATATATATATATATATATATATATATATATAAAAATATATACAAACTCACACACACACACA